GGATGTCATAAGGATTGTGCATCACTAATTCCTCTACCTCTTCCATAATATGTGACTCACTGTATCCCTTGGAGTTAAGCTTCCCTCCATAACTATATCTTCGTTCACTAGCAGATTCTGACTCATTTCATATACACCTTTTGGAACTCTAGTTTCTATAGTCTCTGTTACTGTTTCCATGAGTTAGAGCTGAAACTGACGAAGCTGAAGTTGTGTTTTTCTGGCAACAGGACTGGAGGTTACCCCATTTTCTTCTCTTTCAAACTGATCATTTGTAAAGTTCAAACCAATCTGTTCATTGTTCCCAGGATTCACCGTGTTGGCCCCCTCATTTTCCATTAAAATGATTTTTCCATTCATAGTTGCCCCATTATGATCTTGACCCGATGAAGTTCCATTCCCTATATCAGGATGATGCATGCCATTATTTGCCCCTGGCTGGCCCTGTTGGCTTGAAAAGGTGGACGGTACTCTTCTATAATCTCCCTGATTCTAGTTAACTTGGGTCACTAATTGATGCTCTATTATTTTTCCTTTACCTTTCAACTGGTAGTTTCAAAGTTCTATCTTGGTGCTTACCATTTGTTCAAATGAGTTGTTTTGTATATTAGTGGATTTAATCTATTTTAATCCAATCAATTTGGACTAATTTGGAATCTAAAATTAGCATTTTATTTTTGTAATAAGTCAATTTCAAGGTTATGCTTCAACCTAATAGTTTTAATAAAAAAAATAAATGATTTGAGAAAAAAATAGTTAACCAAATTCTATTATTTAAGTAATTTGAGAAAAAAAATATAAATACTAGTAAATTATTATAACACCTCCAATCTAGGACCTATTAGACTGAAAATATTACCATCATTAACCTACATTCAAAGTACAATAAATGCAAGCTAACAAAGCACTCGTGACTTGCCTATCATGCATTTAAGTATAGTTTACGCTATGAAAGACTAATAATGACGGTTAGATCCTACATTTTAGTTCAAAATACATATGAATTTCTCATGTTTTATTATTTTATTTACGCTCTTTGAATTGAAATAACTCGGATCCGAGACAATCAATTATCTTAAATTCTTTTTCTATTAATATAGGTAAATTTATTTTAATCGGGATCATTATTATTAATTAATTAATTAATCTTTTCCTTAATTGCCTTTTTATTTTATTTGGTATCTATTCCATTATGTTGCTTAAATACTTTGATGATGCTTGAACGCAAATGAATAATCTAAAGTAAATTTACTAACTATAACTACGTTATCATTTTACTACCGGTACTTCGATTATATACAAACCACTATTTACATACAAAACCCATTTAATATTAACTACTACAAAAATGACTTATGAACTATCTATATTTTTTTTAGTCATATATCTACTTTTTCATTTCTTTAACTATTACATAGAAAAACACGAACATGGCTATAAAGTAAATTAGGATACCGATTATGATAATTGCTATGGTGTGTATGAGATCCATCCTCCAATCATATCCAATGTATACATGACGGATAGATCCCTCAATAGCCGACTCAAAAGTGAAGAACACCATCCTTACCTATGTTAGTTATACTACAAATATACAGGTGAGCGATAGCTCGGTAAGTTAACTAATGCATGCTATGCATATAAATGGAAATGCAAGTATAGATCATTTGCATGCTCATGTGAAAATCCTTTTTCATGTCATAAATACTTTTGATGATCTGTCTAAAAATCCTTTTTCATCTTTGGACATGTCCTATTATAGGCACTTTAGGGTTTCCATAATATATATCCGGCAAACCAAACCCGTCTACGGACGCTCTTTGTCAAGTCTCTAAAAGTGCACATCCGCACTTGCCCGGCTTTGAACCATTACCATTAAAATATGAAAAAACCCATGAAGTCTTTTCTCATAAATTTCTCAAAGTCATGAAAATCTCATTCCTTAAAATATTTTCAATTGCTATTGGAAAACCATGACATAAAAACATGTTTTCATGAGTTTAAAACATCTTCCATAAAATTGAACATGCATATGCATTTTATTGAACGTGCATAACCATTATTACTTCATGAGTTACATGCCATAGTGAGATGCATTTATGCCCCGATATTACATAAATTTTATAACATAAATTCACCATAAACATTATATTAACAAAACCATTCCAAACCATTATCAATAATCATACCATTACACATCATAAAGCAACACAACTTCATATTCACCAATAATACAAATTTCATATCACATACACATATCAAATATATTAAGTTGCATTCAAAGAGTTCAACTACACATAAATCACATAAATAAATTTATAAAACCCTAAAATCCCATTTTAGGCCGAATGATGTCCACATCTAACCTAATAGTTTTCTTCCAACCTTAACATCTATTTCTCATATAATTCTACTTAATTTAACCCTAACTTCATAAACTAATTTAGCGAAGTGTTATATGACTTATTTTATGTATGATTTTTGCTTTGGGCCTTATTGGGCTCAAACTTTAACTTTACTTACACAAGCTAGATTTTAGGTTTCAATAAAATTTATCATTTTTTTCATCTCATTACATTACCCTAAGTTCAAAATGCTAAATTTAAGCATTAAAAACCGAATCAAATCTAAACCCTAATTTGCCCTAATTTGGGTTGAATGCCCCATTAACCCCGACTTCATTATTTTCTTCTTCATTCCTTCTCAAATTCTAATTCTAAGTCACATAAATACACATTAACATTAGAATTTAGTTTATCTAACATTCTTAGAACAAATTCATGCCTAAACACTAATTGGGCCTTAATGGGCCGAAATTAGGCATGAGCTAAATTAAGCTATTTTCTTCAACTTTTATAAAAATTTTCTTTCCTAATCACCAAATTATGCTTATTCAACCATAAATTAACTAATAGTTCATAAATTGGATTAAGCAATCAAAACCCTAATTTTGTTAGTTTTGGGCCGAATGTTAGCCCTAGAAAATTCATTGATTTTCTTTCAATTTAAATAAAATTTTCATTCTTAAAAACTAGTTCATACCTAATAAAGTCATAATTAAGCTATAAAACCTTAATCAAAGGATCAAAAAACCCTAATTCACTCGTTTGCCCCAAATCTATCATCCTTTCTAACCTTAGAAATTTTTTTATTTTTAATCATCAAATTTAAGTCCAATTAACCTAATTTAACCTCAATTTCATGAAATTTAGTGTTATGACCATTTTCTCTAATTTTTTCCAAGTAAAAAGCCTAACCCTAATTTTCACAATTTGTGTAGTTAAACCAAATTAATGCACCAAATATCAAATTAACATGAAATTAAGATTATTTGTGTCCAGGTGAAGTTAACTTACTTGATTAAGCTCCAAATTAACCTTGGAAAGCTAGGTTAATTGAGAATTCTTTTCTTCCTCTTTTCCCTCCAAAATTTGAATTAGCTACTTAGTTTCTTTCCTTGGAAATTTTTGGCTCCCAACTTGAAATTAAGGCTTAATCCACTCATGAAGTGCATAAAATTGGTTAGAGTTATTCTGGATAATTTTTTAGTGGAATTTTTGCATGAGTTCCCTTTGTGTTTTTCTATTTTCTTTGCATTTTTAATTTTTTTTGGGAACCTCTATTTATGGCTAAATTTTGTGAGCTTAGTGGCCTCATATCCATCCTTAATTTGGTAAATCTTGGCCCTTAATTTAGTCCTCAATCTTTTATTTTTATATGGCTAAGTTGCTAGCCATTTATTCTTCTTTTTTCTTTTTTTTTTTTTTTTTATCCTTTCACTTAGCCCAATTTTGGACATAATTTTTACCAAAATTCAGACCTAATTAATTCTTTAAGTCTCGCCAAAGCTAGAGGAGCAATGATGAATTTTGGTCCCTCAAGTTTCAAGAATGTTCCATGGCCCTTTCTTTCCTAAATCCTCCTTTTATTCTAATAATCACTTTTAAACCTTATTTTCACAATTTTATCACCACTTTTTGACCCTTAAAATTTCTACATAATTAAAGTTTAAAGTTCAAACTTTTAATTTTATGCAATTGAGTCCCTAATTTATGCAATTAAGTCTCTAAATCCAAAATTGCATCCTATACCTTTCCAAAATCATAATTCTTTTCATAATAAATTTAAATAATTTCTAAAATAATTTAATCATCATTTAAATAATTTTTTATAAACCTATTTAGGCCATCAAATTTATTTTTTAGCGTGAAAATTACACTATTTCACATAAAACAAAATATTCCTTATGTATGAAAAAAAATTATTTAAATTTATTAAATATTCCTAAACATCCTAAATAATTTTTTTATATCCTTTGGATAATTTTCTTGTAATTTTAAAACACTAAATTTAATTATTTTATCTAAAACATACTATTTATGTACACAAAAATTCAAATAAAATATTTACAGCATACCGAGAAAATTCATACAACAATATACAATAATTTAACACCCCTCTAACAAATATTCTAAGTAAACAAAATATTTTTCATGTGCATGCAATATGCTCAAAATAATTATTTCACATAAAAATTATTAGTTATGCACCATAAAATCAATTAAATATTCATTGAGCATAGAAAGACTATTTCAACTATTGTGAATATTCTTTCAAGCCTTTAAAGATTATTTCATGTCTTCAAAATATTTCTCACATATTTTTAATATTTAATTTTATTAAATTTTAATTTTAATGGATATCAGTTGTTACAATTATTTTCAAACATACATTTCATCCATGTATCTCCAAAAAAAAAAAAAAAAAAAAAAGGTAGATGTGAAAACCGGAAAGAAAATTTTGTTTTACAATAGAAGGATAAAAATGTTTTAGATAAGGGGTCGCAGGGCATTTATGTAATTGCATTAAAAATAAGCTTCGGTTTGTGCCTAGTTATATAAAGGCACATAAGCTGCACACCAAATATCAGTATTCCACGAAGCAATTGCATTAATCATAAGTACTATCCGCCTGCTCACTTCACACTTGCACTACCTATAATGTCGAGCATCAATTTGGCAGTACCGCTGGTGCTTGGGCTGCTGCTGGTTATGGCACAGCAGTCCATGCAAAAGAGTTTGATAAACCCCATTGCTGAGATTCAAACAAGCAATTGCAAAATTGCAATCCTTCGTTTAGGCCTTGTTTTTACTCTGATGTCAACGAAAAGGCTCTTCGGGACTCTGGTCTCTATGAACCTGACAATGAAAACGCTTATGTTGACATTGCGGGCAGAAGGTTCCATATGGGGTCACTTAACAATACTCCTATTATATATGTTAAGACCGGGAGTCTTTCAGTAAGATTAATTCCATGATTCCGTTTTTATCCTGTAGTTGTAGTATATTGCATATTGATGTTACTTCTTTTTTTCGTCATCGCAAAATGGTTTTAAAAAAATGAAAATTGTGTAGCATCAAATTTTTTGGTCGTTTACATTATTTCATATCGTAGAACTTAAGATACAAGCTTTATTTATTTCATATCCTATGTATTTTTTTTTTTTTTATGACAGGTAAATGTGGCTACAGCTGTGCAAATTCTCTTGGATAGATTTCGTGATCACGGAATCTCCTTCTTTGGAAATGCTGGAAGCCTTGATGAGGAAACATTGGCGCCAGGTGATGTTTCTGTGCCCGAGGCTGTTGCCTTCACAGGAATTTGGGAATGGAAGGTGCGTAAAGGCCTTTGCTATTATTTATGGTTGTCGTTTTCTATTTTTGTTTTAAAACTTGAATGTTTATACCTTTTTCTTTTCAAGACGTAAAAACCGACAATCTATTCACAAAATTTTTGAAAGCCAAACATAATAATAGTATTCTATTCGCCTTTGTTCTTTTATATCATGCAGAAATTCCCAACGGAGGACAAGCTGGAAGATGGTAGGTTGGTATTTAGAGAGTTCAACTATCCACATAATGGAGAGAACTTGTTGGGGAGTGTAGAGTTTCGGAAAGTGAAGTTGTTCTCTCAAGGAGAACCACCCAAGGATCTTTTCACGCTACCCATCAGCAAATCCTGGTATAGAGTTGCTACTGAAGCGCTTAAGGTTTGTCGATCTCAGAATCTTCAGCTTAATTAGCTGCAAGTTTCTTCTTTCATTAATTACCAGTAAAATGACCTAGATCTACTGCGAAGCTTATAATTGTGAATTTGGAGACCTGGAATACTCAGCGATATATATATATATATCTTTGAATTTTCAAGTGGATTAACTACAATAATAATTGGTTATTCATTGCAGGATTTGGAGTTAAGACGATGCTACATTGATGCCTGCCTGCCCTATACACCCAAAGTTGTCTTTGGATCGAGGGGTTCTACTTTTGATATGTACCTTAAAAATAAAGCATACGAAGACTTCCTCAGGGAAACTTTCAAGGTCTTAAGTGCCGACACATCAAGTGCGTCTGTAGCTTTGGTTAGTAAAGAAGCGAAAATCTTTGAACTCGAAAGTTTTTGCTCCAAAGAGTTTTTTTTTTTTTTTTCCCTTCTTGAGATGCCTGTTAGCTAGGCAGTTATGCATAATTAATTTGGTTAACGAATTTATTGGTGACCTAATTTGCAGACATCTATGTCAAATGAAAAGCTCTTCGTGGTGTTCCGAGGTGTTTCAAATGTAGTGGGTGGAACAAGTTCAAACTCACGACTTAGCAATTTGGCCTCCATCAATGCTTTCCTCGCTGCAACCAAGTTGATTAATTCAATTTCTACGCCACGAGTTGCTTGTGAGTCATGAGGTTATGAATCTCCTTGTATGTCGTTTGAGTGCTTTGTCAAAAATGGATGGCTGCTTGCACTCGAATGAATTATGTGTTATGGCCTCCTAAATTAAATAAACTAGAATAAAGCTGACCTGTATATCATCCATATATTGTACGTATCTTATATGGTGCAGAAAGTAAAATACCCGGCTAAGAAACAATGGAATGTTAAAAGCCCATAGCCCATAGCAATTGCAAAAAATTCCTTCTAAATTTTCTGCCACCATAAATTTCTGTCAAATATTAAAAAAACATTTATAGAAATTTAATTATTGTGAAAAAAAAAAAAAACAAAGAAAGAGGCAATGATGCAAATGTGAATACATATATAAAAATAAAAAAAAATCTTTTAGCAATTTCTATAAAAAGCTTGCATGGTATCTTTTCATAAGATCCCATCTAAGTCAAATTTTTTAACTGGAATTTCATTAGTATCCAAAATAAGAATATAGTACACTGCAACTTTCATGATATGTGAAGAAGAATGAAAGTTAAGCCTATCGGAAAGAAAAAGTCCAAGCAATTGTAACAATAAATAGCCTTCTTGATTGTAAATAGTATTTTCCATTTTACAGACACTTTTAAATGGCTCCTTCGGGTTTTCCCTTTCAAACTTTTTTGTTTTTTCATATCTCACGAGCTCAGTTGGAGGTCAGTGGAAGAAAAAGCTGCACTTAATTTAGTTAAATTAAAAAAGCTCAGTTGGAGGACTCTATTTGTGAGACAAAAAGAGACTATTATTTTAGTTAAATCCTTTTTTGATAATTTTTTTTTATGATAGATGAATAAATTTACCTTTACATCTAATTAATTTTTATAAATGTTACATCCATTTTTAGAGTTTTTCCTTTTCATCTTTTCTTAATATTTAGTATTACTCTTAATTTTAAACAAAAATAGTTTATTATTGAACTTATTTTTGTGTGAATGGAAAAACCTTCTTTTCTTGTTCTTTATTTTTCATATCCATTAAATTAAAAAAAAAATAATTTGAACTAACTTATAGTAAATAGTATTTAAATTTAATTAGTTGAGAAAAAATGAGTTCTATATATTTTACAGGATATTAAGATAAAAATCTTTCTAGAGTGCTTTTAATTATTTTTTTTTTTTTGAACATATCAAACTCTAGTTTTTGAAATCGATAATCACAACAAAAAATTTGAGAAATAGTGATGGATTATTCTACCACAGTTTACCATAAATTTGTCACTAAATGGCTTTAGCGACATATTAGAAACGAAATTCAATCCATTGCTAATGTGCTTATCGCTAATTTTTTTCATGATGAATTTTTTTCCTTGCTTGTTTTGTTGATATTCCATCACTAAAAGGTTCTAAATCGGTCGTCTCTTATGTCTCGTATATGTCGCTAACCATCGCTATTTTCAATTATTTTCATTGCTATTATGCTATTGTTATTTTTTTGTCGCTAATATTCTCGTAATTTCATTACTATTTCCATCACCACTTAGTAACCGAGTGTCATCCATCACTAATTATCATCTCTATTTTGTTGCTATTTTTTTTAATGAATTGTTGTTTATTAGTAATTATAACAATAAATAAATATAAACAACACCTTATTATAACATGTTATATTATTAAATAAATTTAAAATTGTATTAATTAAAATAAAATAAATATATAAATGTGTTAAGATACATAAAATATTAAAAAAGTTTTTTAAAAAAACAAGAAATTTAGTCATCATTATCACCATCTCCTTCATCATCTTCCGGTTGTTGGTCGTTGAGAGGAATGACTGATCGTTAGATTGTGAGAGGGTTAGTAGGAGGGACAAAAGGCGGCTGACGATTCTTTGACAATCCTAAAACTCTATGCAATTGAGTTTGTATGCTTTTAACTTTATCGGCCTATAGATGGATGGTGGCCTCTATCCCCTTGATCCGATCTTCGTACAAGGCGAAACTTCTTGGATATTACCACCATGATACCACGAAGTGGCAAAGGAGGAGTCGGTGTCGAATAGGACGCATAAATTTTGATGCTTTACACTCTCTACTACTTCTCCCATTCAATAGTATCTAAATATATGTTGAACATGTCGAGATTTTGAGATGATGCATCATCCTTTTGCCGTTCTTTAGCATATTGTTCTTGCATTGATTGCACGTGCTCCTAAGTCATTGAAATAATAAAAATATTAAATTATAAAAATATGTCTTAGATTATATTAGTAGATGTACATATATTTTTAAAAAATATAAAACCTTATCATTATGGTCTATGACTGCTCGTCAATGAATTGTCCCATCCTTCCAATTGTAAATGGTCACGAACGACTCATAAAATTTTAGGTTACAATCCAATTTATGATACTTGGAAAAAATAAACAAAATAATATGAGATGAAATAACCAAAAAATTAATTTGTAATACAATGGATAATATAGTATTTACCAAATGCTCGGCGTGCTCGATCAAAGAGATGGACCCCTTAGTATGATTGGATAGGCAAACACCGACACCATCCATATTTGACATGCGGTTTTGAGAATTCTGCCGAGATTGGGTCTATCCGAGAGTGGCCAAATTTCGATGCCACGCTTCCCACACCTTCTATTTAACATACACTAGTCTTTTATCCTTATTTGTCAATTTATTGATCATGTCGCCATACCGTCTCCATGTTAGACTCTCCCATGCATCCTTAATCATTGGATCGACGATCGAATCCCACAAAAAGAACTTCTACATGAAGAAAAAAATAATATTAGTACTTTTCATGTTCAATTAATACTTTAAATGAAATATAAATAAATAATTAATATATTACCCTAAACTCATTCAAGTAGAAGTCTTTTCCTCCATTGAGACAAACTTTTATATGGAGCCAACAACATCTAACTCGTTAGTGTAAGTGTCATGAGTTTGAGTTATTGCATTATTGCATTATTTATATTATTTATAATAAAAGAAGTATTTCTATTAATTCTTGTTATTTACACTTATTGATTGAATAGAATTGGATAGAAGTCCATATGATATGCATTTTCATTAATGATTGATTAAAAGATGTGAGATAAAACTAATGTACATAAATGATATCATTAAATATCTCAAGCCATAGTATTGTCAAAATGGACATTGATTATGTGCGATTAGACTTATGAGTGCTATGTATATGCTATAAGATAGCAGTAGGAGACCTCATATTTATTGACATAATGATGCCAAAGCAAACACTTAGGTGATTCATGTTAGAGATCATATCACTTGGATTTGACTCACTATGAGAACCCATTTGTTTTAGTCTATGAGAATCTCATACAAGATGGGTAAAATTAGTCCTTAGACTTGAAGTCATTACTTGTGATCTCATTAAAGATTTTATGCACTTTGACACTCATTTTGATGGATCCAAGCAAAGTTACACGAGGGCGATTCGTTGAATGCTCTAGGAATCTAATAGAGGCGAGTGGATGACTAAGATAAGATGTATCATTCCTTTTATCCTAAAGGAGTTATCACATTGCACTTCGATAAATATTTGCTCAAGAAATCTATGACCATAGTAAGAGTATACTAATTGAGCATAGTTGGTTTACTCTAGGACCTAAGACTTTTAAGAATCAAAGAAAACTTATATGATCATAATCGAACAAGACTTATAACCAAGTTTGAGATCACACTATGATAAATTGAAATGAGGAATGAACTATATGGTAACTATGCTCATGAAAGGTAATGATGCATTAATTAATCCTCTTAGAGAATTAGGTAGTCATGATACTTTGCTAGAGGTCAATCTTCACTTATGTTTCAAGAGATAAAAGAGTATCTTTTGTTCTTGATACATTTTCAATATATCTAGAAGTCTATTGAGTCACACACATAAGTTTAAGCATTCACATAATTAAAGATAAACAAAGATATTGGAAAAAGTTTTCAATTTTGAAAGTTTTCTATTTTGAAAAAAGGTTTCTAAAAATGAAAAGTTTTCTATTTTAGAAATCGGTTTCCTAATTTAGAAGCTTGTTCTAAATTTGAAAGTAAATAATCTAAAATGAAAATGGGATTCCTAATTTAGGTTTAAGGGTATTTTGAAAAATTATTCCTAATAAGGACCATCTAAAATTATATAAGTTAATTTATTTAGATAATCTAAATTAATTAACTCGATCAAAATGGTTTTGGGCTAGTAGATTTAATTAAAAGCTTAAAAGATAATTTGATGGGAGGATAAACATGAATCTTATTGGATAAGGATGAATGTTTTATAGATAAAGATCAAAAGTCCACATGTTAAATAACCTCCTAATCCTTAGAGGATTATGAAGCAATAACTAAGAATTCCATTAGGACTAAGTTGTCACCCCCTCTCATTGTCCTTGGAGGATAAGGAAACTCCCCTCTATAAATAGAAGAGATAAAATAATAAGAGGAGTTTTACGGGAGAGATAATTCAGCAAAAAAAAGAGCATACTAGGGCACACGGTTAAGAAAAATAACGGGGAAAAAATTATTTTTCCTAACCCTATGCCACTTTCTCTATCTCTCTCTATCTCTATCTTTTAAGTCTGTCTTAAAATTATCTTGATTAGATTTCTATAGAAAACACCAAACAAGTTAGAAAAGATAGAGCTAGCATCCTACTAATTTTGAGTTCTTCTTTTATGGGTGCTTGGACTATGTGGATTATCGATAGAGGTCGGACACTTGGAGGTAAATTCTCTATTCATTGATTTAATTCATGAATATATGATTAGTTGATTCAACGACATGATCTTGGATCCATTAGATGGAGAAAAAAATTTTATTTTATTTCGCTCCACTATAGGATGCATGATCCTTTAATTGGTATCGAGTCTCCATTGAATCTTTAATTTTATATGTTATGTTAATTATGATTAATTGCATGAATTAGCTATGCTCGATTATAAATCTTATATTTTTGATATTTTATATGAATTTAAAACTAAACTTTGGGTTAAAAATCGGTAGAGACACAC